CAGCGCCACTTGGTCCCGTCTGCCCAGCGCGGCCCGTCTCTAGCCAAGGTGGGTGGGAGGAAAGTGCCTCCCGTCCTCACAGCGACAAGCCAGGACAGGGCTGCAGGGACCCCAGGACTCTGCTGGCCCGAGCCCCTCTGTCATTGGCCCCTCACCCTGGTGTTGTGTCCGGGCGAGGCCCTGTGTTCTCAGAGCACATCTGGCTGGAGGGGGTGGGGGTGGGGTTCTGTCCAAGGTGCTGAAATGGCGCCGTTCCCGAGTTAAACGCTCCCATCGGGATGACCACTCTTTTGGCAGAGAATTTCATTCCCATTTCACAGATGAGAAGCGGAAGCTCCCACGCACTGGCAAAAGCAGAGCTCTGAACTCAGCTTCTTGCCTTTCAGCCCGGAGCTCTTACCTGCAGAGGGAGCCCTGCTGAAAACTCCCAGCCCGTGCTCAGGGAATTCCACTGCAGAGCCCGACTCCTCCCTACGCCACCCCAACTGTTTCCCTAAACACTGTCCACCTCCGGGCCTGCGGAGACTGACCATTCAGGGGACCCACAGGCATGTATGGGGGAATCTGCCTGGAGGAAGAACAGATGTGTACTAAGTGTGATTTAAAAAAAACTACAGTGAGTGTTTACACTTTTAAATAAAAATGTATTACAGTAAAAGACATATTGCCATTGTGTCTTTAGCTGTGGATGGCTCAGTGTCCTGAGTCAATTCAAAACCTTTGCCTTCCATGGACATTTTATTTTGGGGAAGAGCCAGAAATCACAGGGTGCCGGGTCTGGTGAAGAAGGTGGATGAGGACACACCGTGATGTTTTGATGAGCCTGCCTTCCTGTAGGAGGGCCCTCAGCAGCAGCATTCGCTGTATTTTTCTTATCACATCTCACAAGGACACTGAAAACAGGACTTCCAGAACTGCTGCAGACAGTGACAAGAATGATGGGCTAAGTGTGTTTAAAGGGAAGGAGAACTATTTTGAGGGCGATCCACAGCAATGTGTCTTAACAAAATCTTAAATCATTCACAGTATTTTTGATCATCCCCTGTCTATAGCTCTGCTTGCCTAGGAACCCCTGCATGCAGCTCACCCTGACATTCCTTTTGGGGGGCGCTGGCCTTGGGGGAAGTAATGTCCCCCACGGTGCTCACAGTGTTGCATTTTACCAAGTGTCTGTGGTGTTTCAGATCCAGCCGTGAACTTCCAGTGTGAAGTTTCTCACTCCGACTGCAGAGTCTCCTTGTAACACACGAGGACGCTGGGCTTAGGCAGGGTGAGTGTCTTGCCAGGAGGCAGAGCAGGGGTTGGAGAGGCAGAACTTGAACTCAGAGTTGTGAGGATCCATGGTGCTTCTTCTGTCAAAGCTTGTCAACACTGTTCGTGTTTGTGGTGAGCCTCTAAGAGTCCCCGTTCATCAAGCTGTCCAACATTCTCTCCAAAGAGCCCTGCTGGGGACAGCTCTGGGGAGGGGAAGCTGAGGGTACCACAGTGGCTACTCACGCTCCCCAGCAGGCAAGACTGACTGACTCCTCTTATCTTACAGATAAGGAAGCTGAGGCCCAGCAGGGTGAAGTGACACATCCACCATTACTGAGCCTAGGAAGAAGGTCCCCACTACCCAGAAATGGGTAGTAATCCTTCACTAATTGCCCATCCTGCAGTCTCCCAGGAAGTGGACAGGTAAACAAATTCACAAGTCAACCAACAGACAGAGGCCCTGCTGATAGTTACTGACTACGGGACACTCTGGGGGGACCCTCAGCGGAGGGTGTTCTGCTGAGGGCGTGCTCCAGCCCCCTTTGGGCAGTGCTGGCTAACGGCAGGAAGTCACACTCATTCAGAAGCTGGGGAGAGGACAAGAGTAATGGCTTCCTCCCTTTGAGCCTCACGCTGGAAAGAATGCGTCATGCTGGTTGTGAACAATTGACTGCTCTGTAATCACATGGGGGGACCCCTGCCCAACACCCAACAGGACCTTGGAACAGCTTTTCCACGTATAATGAGGCTAGCAGGAGGAGATGTATGGGAGTGTGTGGGGGTCTCACCAGGGCAGCTTGGCTCCCAATTTGTCTCAGTCCTGAGCCCCTGGCAGGCAGAACTCCACAGTGACATGATTCTGACAAGCACCAAGCCTCCCAGAGCTCACGGACAGGAAGTAGTTTGCATCCCAGGTGGGAGGCAGCGGTGTGGCCTCCGGACTTGTGGAGCTCTGGCTGGGGGCAGTGGACACGGATGCTGCCTCCCCAGGCCTGCCAGGACCCTGCTCTCCCCCTCTCAGGAGCAGCTACCAGGTGCTACGGCTCTCCTTGAGGCTAGAGAGCAGGGACAAGAAGGGGCTGGGACGCAAGGACACCCACAGCAATGTGCAGAATAAGACCACAGCACCCCTCAGCGAGCTGCTCCCCAGTAGTGCCACACACACACCATCTGCTGCTACTTCCCCCCTGCGCCCTAGCAGGGAGCGTTTCCTGATTTGGCTCAAGGAGTCCTCGAAACAGACCATCTTAGAAATCAGTTCTTTCATCTCTCCCTGTGCATTCACCACTTACAGATGAAGGAGCCGGGGCCCCGTGAGGAGAAGCCACTGGCCCACAGTCACAGAGCCACCTGAGTCGCCAGGCTGGGGCCAGGGCCAGGACACTCCCCACTAGCAGTCTGGTCTGGCCCAGTCCAGTCCTCTGGTCACCTCTCACTATGTGAGATTATTTTTATTCCAAATGACCATTCTCGCCTCCTCTACCCCCACACTTAGGGAGCTCCAATTTTCCTGGGGAAGTTATGGGCCCCAACTCACAGCAACATAGGTCCCTTGGCAAGGGCACCCCGAGGAAGAACAGTTCGTGTCCACCCACCGTGACTGCGATCTACACTGGGGAGGAGGAAGACGGCACCAGGTAGAGTTTTACTCTGAGCTCTGCTCCACAGACTGAGGTGACCTGTCCTCAAAACCTATGTCACCAGCCAAGCCCTCGCTGGTGTGATCATGAGCAGGGCTTCCCTTCAGACTGGTGGCTTGGCACCTTGGCAGCACACTGGCCTCAGCCCCTTCCTACTGAGTGAGGGCTGGGTGAGCAGCATGGGCACCTGTCCCCCCGCTTGTCAGGAATGCACAGCCCCAGGCCCCACCCCAGACCTAGCCAATCAGAACTCAGAATTTAACAAGGCCTGCAGCTAACATGTACTCCACACATCCCTTCTCTCCACCTGTACAGAAGCTTGTAAGGCAGGTGTTCCTTTTCATGGGAGGAAACAGAACCAAAGAGCTTAAGTCCACTGTGGAAATCAGTTTGGAGATTCCTCCGAAAACTAGGTTTAGAGGTCCCATTCAACCCAGCTATCCCCCTGCTGGGTATTTTCCCAGAAGATCTAAAAACATCATATCACAGTGATATATGTGCACCTATGTTCATAGCAGCACAATTTGTAATTGCTAAAATGTGGAAGCAACCCAAATGTCCATCCACCGAGGATTGGATAAGAAAATTATGGTACTTTTATATAATGGAATATTACTCAGCTGTAAAGAAAGATAAACTCGAGGCCTTTATATTTAAATGGTCACAACTAGAGACCATACTCATAAGTGAAATAAATCAAACATACATGTGCAAGTACCGCATTGTGTCACTAGTGTAAAACTTGAAAGAGTTAAGTTAAACTCGGAGGTATGATAGACACTGTGAAATGATAGGAAACCACCGAAGAGTAAAGGGCTTCTGGGATGTGGGAAAAGAGAAGGGAAAGAAGGAAAAATTTTGTATGTATGTATATACAGGATAGATAACATGGTTGTTCTTCTATCTGCTGTTTCTATGCTGAAAGAAACTGTCAATGAGTCTTTGGTTGACCAGTATTGCATGTCTATATCTGTTTTCATGAGAAGCCACTTTGAAGATATCAATATGTAATACAACCACCATTGTTAATTCCCTACCACTTTGTTTGTAACTCTGTATTGTCTGTATTGTGCTTGTGATATGTTGTAAAATGTTGTATGTCTGTTAATGTTTCCCTCCTTTTATCCTTAAAATAAAAAAAAAAAAAAAAAAACAAAGAGCTTAAGTCACTGGACCAAGGTCACACTGGGGAAGAAGGACAGCCAGGGTGTGACCCGGATCAAGTTCCGGAGGCCGCATGCTTTTCCACCGCATAAACCATGCCCATAGCACAGTAAAAAAATAGAAGCCTGGGTGTCCCACTGGACACGCCCCACCTTTGAACAGGTGTGGGCCAGTGTCAAGGTCCCCGGAATCAACCCTCATCGACACTAGCATAATTCAGGAGGAAATACAAGTAGTACACAAACACATGGGGCAAATGTTCAGTCTGCCTAGTAATCAGAGAAATGCAAATTAGAGCAATATTGAGGAGCCATTTTCTACCTATATAATTAGCAAGGGGAGGGGAGATATTAGCAAAATTGTTCTGAGGTGGGTACCAATCCCACATGACTGGTGACAGGGTCGATTTACAGGACCCTTGAGGAAAGTGATCCAGCAACTTCCACCAGGACCATAAATATGTTATGCCCATCGGCCTGGGGATTTGCCCTAAGGAAATACTTTGACGCAGTGGGGGAGACTGTTTGTATGAAGGCGCTCGCTGCAATGCTGGCCGTGAACGCTGGGAACAGCTTATTTGGCAGGCGGCAGAAACCAGGGCTGATGGCTTCCTGCAACTTATGCATCATTTAAAATGATAATTAAGAAGGCCAAGCAGCAACACAGAAATGTGGGTGAAAGAAAGCAGAATGCAGAGCTGCATACGTGCATCGTGGTTATTATGACGTGGAAATATTGTGCCCAAAGACATAGCAGGGAGAGCCAGGTACGAAGGACGGCCGGGTTGCAGAGCAGGGGGCCGTGAACACACCCCATGCCTGTTATTTTTACAGTTACAGTCCCCAGCCCTTGAAGATCAGCTTCAGGGAGGGGGTACAGGGCCATCCCTTCCTGCCAGGAGGCGGGGGTCAGGGAGGGCACGGCGGGCTCCTCCCGACTTACCATGAAGCCAGGGGCACAGGTGCAGCTCCCCGTGATGCTGTGACAGTCAGCGCCATTCTGGCACGAGCAAGGCAGCTGGCAGCCATCGCCATAGTAGCCGGCGGGGCAGGACTCATTGCAGTGGTGGCCAGACCAGCCCGGCTGGCAGGTGCAAGCTCCAGTTACTGGGTGGCAGCTGAGGTGACGAGAAAAGGCGATAGGACAGTCTTGTCAGGGATGTGGCTGTGTCCCGCCCTCCACTCACCCCAAATCCACTCTGCCTGGGACAGCAGGATCAAAGGGCCGCTGTGGTTCAACTGCTCAGCGTCCTGTTTGCCCATCAGAAAGTGCCAGGGCCACAGGTGAGTATGCATCCCCCAAAACCAAGGCTCATGTGGTTGTCACTTGCATCAAGCCACCCAGCAAGGAGACAGCAAGGTCAGCATTTGAACCCAGGCCTTCTGACTCCCAAATACGGGCTCTTTATACAACAAATACACAGAGACCAAAGTGGAGGTGGCTTCCCCCTTGCGTCCCTTGCCTGATATGACTGTGAGGTCCAGAGCTTCACCCACCCCCATGCAGGGAAGATACCCAGCATGGGTATGGGCATGAGAAGGCAGCAATGACACCCGATGACATGTGGCCTCCCTTCCCCTTGCCCCGGAGAGAATCCTCCTCTGTGCGTGGCCAGGCTCTTTCTCAGAGAGCCAGCTCTCCTTCATTGCCATCTGTCCGCCACAGGAAGGACCACTTGGCTGCAGGCAGCGGCTGCCTGGCATGAGCTGGGGTGGGGGACAGCCTGTGGCTGGCGGTGGTCTGCTCCTGCAGCCATGTCCATTCGTGAGCGCGAGGGATGTGGTGACCACGTGCCACTCAGCGCTCCAGAGGGAGCAAAACGGACCTATGGCTGCAGCCGCTACATCTGACATCCTGAGACCACGTTTCTGGGACACTCATGGGAGATCCAGGACTCCTCTGACGGGCACATTTAACCTCTGAGATTTCCTATCTTGCCCAACTTTCCTAGGACTGCTGAGTGCTTAGACCCTTCCACTCATCTGCTCCCTTCCCCTGCCACCGGTCGCAGCACACCGGTGCTGTGGTCCAGCAGCTGTCCCGGCCTCTCCTGTTCCCTCCCCTCCTCCCCTGCTAAATCTCCTGCACCTGGTGGCTGCCCCTGGGGTGGCCCAGACTAACACAGCACAGAACAGCCCGAAGTTCCCTGCTCTGGGCTGCAGCTCGGGAACAGTCGTGGTTCTGTTAAGTTCCGTGGGGACAGGAGCTTTGTCTTGCTGGACCCCCAACAGGTCCCCAGGTCCTGGCTCATGTTCACTGCCCAGTGACAAATCTGGGAATAAATACAGCTTCCACGATGTTTAATTATTTTCTATGTCTGCTGATTTGTCTTTCCTCTCTCTCTCTACCAGGTTGCAGCTCCCTGGGGGGGAGCCCTAGTCTGTCTGGGTCACCTCTCGGGGCCCAGTGAGGGACCTGGCACATGGGAGGTGCTTCATGCATATTTGGCAGATGAATTAATGAACAAACTAATTATGTGCAGCCCAGCCAAGCAGTTTCTCATCTGGAGGCCCTGGTTTTCTCCCAGAAAATGAGGGGGTGGACAGAAGCAGATGATTCCAGAATACTAAGTGCAAGGAGATAATAATCATTTTGGGAAATGTTTTGTCTCATTAATCATTAAGTCAAAACAGCAATTAGGTATCACTTTTTCTCTATCAAAACAGAGAAGATGAAAAAAGTGCCGGTAAAAGGGTTTCAAAACAGTTACAGTCACACACCATTGAGGTTATGTATCAGGAGACCTAAAAATATTCAGACTCCTTGGTCTTATAATTCCATTCCTAAGAATCTATCCTAAGGAAATAATCATAGTTGTGGAGAAAGATTTATGCACAGAGATGTTCCCTGAAGCATTATTTATAACATCGGAAAATGGAAGCAATTTGAATAATAATAAATAATATGTGACTGGGCTATTAAAGCACCCAGCACTTTACACACATATTTCCAGACTTTAGTAAGCGTGTAAATAGGAATCGGAGCCTCTATGTCACAGATAGCTCTTGGAGGTTGTGTGACTTGCCCAAGGTCACACAGTTAAGCTCGTGAGTAGTAGAGCTGGGATTCAAACTTGGCTCTGGCTGGTTTGTTATCTCTGGCCTGGCTACCTCTGAAAATGGGGTGCTGGTTAAATAAATTAAGACAATCCACATGGAGGGATGTTAGGGAGATGTCCATTTATTTTCTAAAATATTAAATGATAGGCTACAAGGTTGAGTGAAATGAACAAATTACATACAAAGCCGTGATCTGAAATATGAAAAAAGTGCTACAAATATAGATGTGGATGATACACAGATGAGCTTACAATGAAATGGCTTTTGTGTTTACTGGGAGTTGAGAAATTATGAGCGACTCTTGAGTTTTCCTTTTCAATGTGTTTGTACTCTCTAACTTTCCCACCCTGAGCATCTATCACATGAATAAACAGATGTAAAGCAATAAGAATTATAAACATCCAGCAAAGAAGAATGGGTGTAAAGGATGAGCGTTTGAAACTTTCTGACCTTCACAGATGTCGAGAATCCCGCCCCAAGCCCCGAGTACTTTAAGGGGACAGAGTGCTGTGCTTAGGTGCCACAAGGCAGTGCCCACTTGGTGACCCTCGGAAGGGGCTCTGAAGCCCTCCTTGAGCTCCGCACTCTGAGCCAAGCCCCTAGGCTCAGTTTCCTCAGCTCCAGCTCTCCCAGGGCGTCTTCTGTGGTCGAGGGCCAGGGTTAGAGGCCTGGCGGTTCCAGCTGCAGCTGTTGGTTCTGCCCAGCCCTGGGGTCTCCCAAAGTCGCAGGTACCTTTCCGTTCTTGCTACCAGCACACAGTGGTGCTCTCTCTGCCCCAGAGCAGTCAGGCTGGATTCCCCGGCTGCGGCCCAGCCTGAGAGAACCCAGCCGCACGGGCTCCTGAGAATTCGAATTTACTGCATTTGATCTCCAGAGCCATCTTTGGTTGCTTGAGGGTGGCGAGGGGATCTAGGTGCTCATCTTATGCTTTTTACTCTGGAAGGCTCAAAACCAGATCTGAAACCGGGAGTGATGGCGCAAAACCAGAGGATGGGAGTCGTGGCTGTCAGGGATTGTCACCGAGAGCTGCAGTCACTATGCTCAGCACCTTTGACCTCAGCAGAGGGGCTTGCACATCTCTCCCTCCCAGTGCGGGTCCTGGTCCCTGGGGTCCCACGGCGGGCCAGGCACTGCTGCCGAGACTCAGGCGAGCATCATCATGCCTGGTCTGCAGGCTGCTTGGGTTCCCTCAGCCTCCCCCATTTCTCCCATCTCTGCAGACGCAGATTAATCACAAGGTAATAGGAGCCGAAAGCTGCACAATGCGGGAATCTTTTCAGGGTGGATTTTTCTGCCATTCTTTTCGGCCACTCTGAGATTCCTATCAAATGGGGCATCTGCTGGCTAAATCAAATCTTTCCAAGGTAATACAGGATCCCAGTGGCCAGCATTCATCTATGACAATCCGATTGTGGAGGGGACACTGAAAAGCCTGACACCAGGCGCATGTCCTCAAGGTGAGCGCTTCAGGAGGCCGGGCGGCTTCTCTGTGTGCATTACGAGGAGTCAAGTCAAGGGGGACCTCGGTGCTGGAGAGCGCACCAGCCTCCCCTCCTTCCCAGGCAAAGCAGCTTGGCGGGGTGGGGGTGGGGAGGGGACAGGAGCAGAGAGGCTGGGGCAGGGTGGACAGGCCTCCTCCAGCCGGAGTCACTCTGTACACGCTCCAGACTTGCAAGCGACATTCTGCAGAAATCGGGGGTACACGAAGCCACTTTCCTCTTGGGGCGCTGAGCGGAAGCTTCATGTTGACAAATCACAAGAGCAACTTCCTCCACTGGCTGGACGGAAGGGGATGGACAGACTGGGGCAGGCAGAGCGGGGAGGAGCCTGCGAATCAGGCCGTTGGCATAAACAGAGGTTTGAGGCCAGCTGAAGCTGTGGAGTTGTGGAGTCATGGAGTCGCCTCTGCTGTCCTTGGGTCCCAACAGAAGGCTCTACAGTGGCTCAGAGGCTCACCGGACGTCCACACCGAGGAAGAGAGCTGCCTTTGGGGTCCTCAGAACAATGCCAAGTGCAGCACATGAGAGCTCATTTAGGCCGCAGGCTCTCTACCTCCGGTGCCAGCGCCTGGGTGTGGGGAGGGGGCTGCTACCTGCGTGTGGTAGGCGGAGCCGGGATGCTGTCAAGCCTCCTGCAGTGCCCAGGGCAGCCCTCCGCAGCTAAGGGCTATCCCACCCCAAACAGGAACAGTGGTGAGGCCGAGAGAGAGCCCGAGCCAGCCCGAAGGAAGAACTAGGTGAGCGTTGGAGACTCACTCACTGGGGCAGTGTGCCAGGAGAAAGGGGTGAAATATTAAAAAAGCAAAATTAGGGCAGGCATCAGCTAGCAGGCAGAGCCACCTCGAGAGCAGGGCACTTAACAGGAACTCGCAACGCTTTTCCCTGAAGGCCTGCTCCACGTCAGGGACCACAGCGCCGAGCCAGCTGCAACTCAGGTGGACGAAGGGACCAGACGGGACCCGGGCCCGGGACAGAGCTCCCAGGGTGGGGACGCGCATTCTGAGGACCCTGCCTGAGACAGACTGTCCAGCACCCCCGGATCCCACAGCCTGAGAACTGTGACTGCCTCCCTGTCCCCGAAACACGATACGCGTTAAAGACAGGAAAGCAAATAATCATTAATATTGGATGGGCTGAGATTAGCGATGGAGAAGAGGGACTCCTTCCAGATTAATAATGCATTGAGGACTCCTTCAGAGGGAAGATGAATTATGCAGGGCACGGCTGCTCAGGCACGGGAGGAAAACAATAGCTCTTCCACGTGGGGCCTGCTCAGATCTCCGCAGCAGGGCCTCTCCCAGCTGCAGTCCCTACACGGTCTATCCTTGTCTTCCCTGGCACTGTCCTCTGCCCTCCAGCAGTGGGAAGCAGATGACTGGTCCCCTGAGCAGCCACCAGGGTGCCTAGTGTTTACAGCCATGGAATTCTCACCCTGCCTCCCATGCAAGCCTAGATACCTCCTCCTCCAGGAAGCCTTCCCTGCAGTCTTTTATGGTCCTTCCTGCCCATAGCCCTAGGCCACAGTTACCCAGGTACATGTTGGGACCCAGCGGAGCTGGCCATGTGTATTTTACCCTCTCTGAGATGCGGTTCTTCCCCACATTTTCACCCCTCTGATAATGGGTGCATTATACAATTCATGCTATGCCATGGTTCCGCTGACAGCATTTTCTTTTCTTCATAGGACCTAAGACAGTGCCGTGCCTCACTACTGCTGGTGGCTGGGATTGGAGGAGACACAGTAGCAGGGGCTCAGTGTGCTGAAGGTATCTCTGCTTCCTCCTCAAGGCCCAGCCCTGCAGGCATTCAGTGTTCATTAAATGGAACAATCAAACGAATGAATGTGCAGGACATATCAGGTTCAGGGGCCTCTCTGGACAGTCCCAAATGCCACCCCCACCTTGCACACCCCAGCTGCTCAGCTCCAGGGCCCGAGGACCATTTTTGCCTGAGCTATGACACCTGCTAAGATGCCTTTGCTTGCAGAACGGTCCAGGGTGACTTGTGAAAAATCAAAAGCTGGGAAGGGAGAGGGACCGAGGCAATGTCCAGGCAAAGTCCAGGCTGCATCAGCAACAGCCAAGGCCAAGTCCCTGGTGAGGGATTCACTTCTGTCCCCCCATCCCTCCAATCCCTCCACCTTGCCGGGGCTGCGGGACAGCTGTCCCAGGCGCCGTGGTCCAAGCCCCTGTGTTGGCCCCGTGGCCCCGTCTGCCCCACTAAGCACAAGGGGGAGGACTGAGCACCGGGGCTGCCCCACGCTCTGCGGGTCATGAGCTCCTACCCTGCCCCTGCATGTAGTGCAACATGAGGGCAGCCAGGGCGGAGAACAGCGGCAGGCCACCTGGCGTCTGGGCCTGGCTCTGTCGCTGTGGCCCTGGCTTCTCCTTTTCATCAAAGCGAAGGCAGGGACCGGGAGCTGAGGGCTCTGGGCTCCCTTCTGTCCCGGCTGGGTGGCCGTGGCCTGAGAACCCTCTCTACACCCCAGCCGCCCTACCCACCTCCCGCTCCCTGTCCCCGGCCCCAGCTGGTACCTCACGGTATTGTCAGTGTCACAGGGGCAGGGCAGGGAGCAGCCTGGGCCGTACAGGCCTTCGGGGCACAGCCGCTCCTGGCAGCGCGGGCCCTTGTAGCCAGGGCCGCACTCGCAGGCGCCCGTGGTGGGCGAACACTGGCCTCCGTTGTGGCAGTCGCAGCGCTGTGAGCACTGGAAGCCGAAGGTCCCCAAGGGGCACTCCTCTTGGCACCTGTGGGAGAGCAGAGGGGGCGGAAGGGTGGGCTGGGACCCTTCCTCTCCTTTCCCTCCTCCAGCCCCAGGAAGCATTCATGGCATAGCTCAGCCCTCATCCAAACCCCAGCACCCCCAGCAGTGAGTGTGCAATCATATTTCACTGACGCCCAACCCTATACGGACATTTTCATTTTTGAAAACTGTGGTAAAATACCCGTGCTGTGGCTCCTCCAGCAGAACTGTATTAAGAGTTGCTGGCTTGGGGGTTGCTTGATTAGGTCATGAGGGTTCACCCTTATGAGTGGATAAGTGCTTCTGTACAGGGGCTGTGGGGAACTGGCCAGGTCCCTTGCTCTACCCTTCTGTCCCTCCTATCAAGGAGGACGCCATGTTCAAGGTGCCATCTTGGAAACAGAGAACAGATTCCCACCAAGTCACCAACCTGATGGCCCTTTGACCTTAGCCTCCTCAGGCTCTAGAAATGTGAGAACTTGAAAAGTATTCTTTTAAACAACAGTCCCAGGTATATGGTCGTAATGACACCAACAGACTAGGACAATATGATGAACGTGGTGAAAATATCTGGTAATATGAAATTAACCACTGCACCATTAAATGCACTGCTCAGTGGCTTCAAAGGAAATACATTCACATCACTGAGCAACTATTACGACCAATCATCTCCAAAACCTTTACATCTTTTTACAACTGAAACTCCGGATCCATTCACAATAAACCTTCTGTTTAAAAAATATATTTCAACCTCTCTGAAATGAGATGTGTCTTATTCCTGATGGCATGACAGGGTTTAATTATTGGTGTTTTTCTTTCTTAGCAGTATATAAAATATACAATCAGTGTCATCTTAGGGTTGATGAAGTGGGACAATTTCGCTTCTATACACTCGGGTTTGGAGTCTTTAGGGCAGACCTAAGTCTCTGTCACACAGTGAAGCGTCCCCCCGCACCCCCCCCGGGGACAGAACTCATTAGACCTGCTGAACCTTGGATTCTGGCATACAAGAGGGCTCCTTTCTCACCTGACCAGGGAACCCCGGTGACAGGATCTCGTTCCCCTTCCTGGGGCTGGAGACCCCCTGAAGGTGGGGCTGGGGCTCCCTTCTAGCCTGTGAGCCCCCAAGAAGGAGGGCTGCCCCCATCTGTGCACTAGGCTGATACCTGGTGATAATTATTCTACTTCATCCGACAGGCCTCCGATCGTTTGTGTGGATCCCCTGTGGGCTACTGTGACGCCCGCTATGACTGCCTGGCTGACCCCTAGCCCCAGGCCGGGGCCGTTTCCTAGGGGCTGCAAGTCCACTGTCACAGCAAGTGACCCTGCCAAGGTAAGGGGTAAACCTGGGGCACCTCCTGCACCCCAAACACAGGAGGAAATGGGCTCCGGGGTTTGGCTTACCCCAGTGCTTCAGACAGTGGAAAACTGACTTAAAGCTGTGACACTCACAACCTCTTCGTAAAAAGCAGTAACAACTGAACCTTCTGGGGTTGTGTGAAGACTGACTGAGCTAATGTGTGTCAGTGTTTAGAAAGGCGCCCGACACAGGGTGAGGGCTCAAGAAATGTTAGTCATTATTCCTCTGACAAAGACTGTTTTCTCCTGTTCCTAAGACAGTGCTCATGAGACCGCTGAACCTTGGACTCCGGCAGCGGAAGCTCAAAGAGAACAACTCTAAAGTGTGGACAGTGGCGTGGGCTCGAGGGAGCATAAGTGCTTCCACTGTCCTGTCACTCATTTCTCAGGTGCTTTGTACATCTTCTACAGTAATGGGGGCCGGGATAAAAGATGCTTTATAAAAATCCAGTTCTATGTTTTCATTCTATTTTGGAGGGCCACAGCATGGAGCTGAGCGTTCTTCCCCACAGAGAGAGCCCCGTTAGGTGAGCTTGGCGGCCTTCCCAGAGGGGAGTAGCCGCACTCAGCAGACTTGGGAGGCGGCCATTGAGTGCGTGGGGAGAGCTGCGGCCGGGCACCAGGCTTGACCACTTGAGGCCGGGCTGCTCTGAGCCCCCAGAGACAGGCAGAGGAGGAGCGGGACTGGGGGCTGGCCTTCAGCGCTTCCCTCATGGCAAGATGCCACCAGCTGTCTCCTCAGAGCCGCTGTGGCACGGGAGGAATCTAGCAGAAGAAAGGGCCGTGGAACACGATGCCAACAGCCCCGAGTACTGGCTAGAGAGGGGCTCCCAGTCAGCTGCTCGGGTCCCGGTGCCGGCCCCAGCGCCGGCTCCCGAAGCAGCAGATATTCTTGCTGCCCTCACTTTGGAGTTGAGGAGGCCGAGACAGGCAAGGGGACTGGGCCAAGCTCACAGAGCCTGCAAGAGGCCAAGGTGACCCTAGACCGCGTTCCTGCGAATCTCACTGCTCTCCGCCAACCTGACCCTCGCAAAGGGGAAGGTGGAAATGAGAGGGAAAAAGGGAAGAAAGGAGAGGGACACCTGGAGAAGGATGGAAGGAGGAAGCGGAGGGAAAGGGAAACTGAGGCAGAAGAGGGTGACCAAGAGCGGTCAGTCACTGTCTGAATGGACTCTTGTCCCTGCCCACAGGTCAAATCACAGAGCTTCACTGACCGCAGAGGTCTCAGAGGAGGACGAATCCACAGCAGGAGGCTCCTCCAGGTGCCTCAGACATCCCTGCCTCCCGCCTAGCAGGTTGCTCAGCGCCCTGGACACAGAGCTCCTTCAAAGGCTAATTCTCCACTCTGCCAGGGTTTTGGGGTGACTGGATCCACAGCCTCGTGGGAAAAAAAATCTACAAATATTGACAACTCAATCCATTTACATGATCAGCGTCTTTTTATTTTTTTCCCTACTCACAATTGAAACAACTTATTTATTTAGGATCTAGCAATGACTGCTAATGAATTTTACACAAAGCACGCTAATAAGGGGCCTGCGGAACAGAAGGGTAATCACAGCAGGAATTAGCTCTCTACTTAAACATCCGTCCTTTGCAACATATCAATCTAATGTGTCCAATATTGCCATTAACAACCAGATACATTGCTCAATTAAATTACGAAATGAGCTGCAAAGCCCTCGTTATGTTTTGTGTTTAATTTGCACTGGATCCTGCCTATCTGGGGAGGCCCACATTATTACACCCGCTCAACTCTAATATGCTCGTGATGATTTGGGGTGGCTTAATGCAGCTGTCACCTATGAAATTAATGGAGGCAATTTTACAAAATATTAAACACCAGGTGGCCTGTTTAGGTGGGAGACTGAAACGCAACCCGGCCCTCTGATTGAACCCTCCCATGCTTGACTGGCAAAGTGTGCTGGAGCGCACCCCGTGGCTTTGGGGTTTCTCTCTGCCCCAGGAACATGGGCCAGGCTCCAAGAAGAAAGATTCTGGACTATTTCTCTTTCAGTTCATCTCAGCGGGGCAGACTGACAGCCAGTGGGGTAGGGCAGTGATGGCGAACCTTTTAGAAGGTTCAGACTGTAACCCCAAAACCCACTTATTTATTACCAAGTACCAACACTGCAATTAAACCTGAATGCTGAGGTTTTAGTTTAGAAAAAAAACAACAGATACATTAAAAGAAAAACACAATAACAGAGCTGTCAAGGATACAAACAGCCCGCTGTAGCATGCGTGCCATAGGTTCGCCGCCACTGCAGCAGGCTCTGTGGGTTTAGGTCTAGCTGCCTGCAGCCCTGGGCAGCTGGTTTTCAGCAAGGAAGTGAACAGGGTCCTGTCCTGGTTTTGGGTCTTCCTGGTTCTGGTTCCCACGGGCTCATCCTGAGCATTTCTATATTTCGGGGAGACGGTGTGGGTGGGAGGTTGGGCTCAGTGCTTCCATCCTGGATCCCAATATACCATACCCCAGGCTCCTGAGCTGGGAAAACCCCTGTAGACCAACTCTGGCTGGTAAAGGGACCGGCTCTGACCTACAAGAGTTCAAGACAAAGCTCATGGGTCATCACTTTTCTGGATGTCACTGCAGCTTGGGGCTGATTCCAGGGACAGGAATCACTTGATTTCATCAGCCAGAGCTAGAAAGACTCATTGGTTGACTTAGCCTTGATCCCTGCTTCCCGATGTCACCCAGGAAAGGGAGGCAGCAGGATGGCAAGCAATGTTCCTCTCTCTTCACTTTGTCTGGGCCAAGGAACAAACCCAGGAGCCAGAAGTCAAACACAGACCAGGGCAAGGAGTGCGACAGCCTCCTCCTCATTGCCGCTTGAAGATGCCCAGGTGGCAGAGTGACAGGGAGGGGACCTGGCCTGGGTTCCATGCCCTCCTCCAGCTCCGAGCCCACCATCCTTACCTGTCCCCCATGTATCCAGCTGTGCAGTGGCACTGTCCAGTCACATGGTCACATTGTCCTCCATGGTGGCAGGGACAGTCGTGGCTGCAGTTCTGGCCAAACGTCCCTGGTGGGCAGGGCTGGGCGCACACTGCTCCCTGAAACAGAGGCAGGAGGACACGCATGGTGGTGCTCAGCGATGCCACACTGAGTGTCTATGCTCCTAGCAATGGCACGGCTGCCGGGGCCCCAGGGAGCACCGCATCTCCCCCGTGGATGGAGGGGAAGCTGACACCCCAGTTCCAAAGCCTTCATCTTAGAGATGCGGACACGGAGGCCAGTTTGCCTGTGCTGTCGTTCCGTGCACCTTTAGTGAGTGCCTGCTGCGTATGTACCAGGTGCCGGGTCAGACACCAGGATACAAAACTGGGTGGGACTTGATTCCTGTCTCCCCTGCCCACTGCGGAGAGAGCTAAGAGAACAGCTAAATAAAGTAAAGCTAGAGAGCTGACAGGACGAGGAAGGCACCTCGGGTCACATGTGCCGGTGCAGGCCCCACACTCCTCTCCACCCCCGCCCCAAACCCCGCTAACGCGGGAGCAGAGGGCGAAAGAGGTGCAAACCTACGGGACGGAGGAGCAGAGACAAGGATGCGCGTGCTGCGGGGGGGGGGGGGGAAGCAGGTGCAGGAGCGATCGGGGACTGGGTTCCTGCTTTCTCTGCAATGCTAAGTGGCCGCAGAGGGTGTGCGGGGAAACCATCGTGACGCTGGGCCATCGAGACCCTTGGAGCTCAGGGGAGCTCAGGACTCAGGCGCACCGGCATCCTCTGAAGCCTGAGGGGAGGCTGCAGTGAAAAGAGGATGGTCTGGAGGTTGTAAAAGAAGGGAATTAGAGCCTTGATCTCTGCCCTGACTTCCCACAGCCAGGCAACTTCCCATGCCTTCTTGTGAGGTTGACCACGTAGGCTTTGGACGCAGGGACATCGCTGAGGGTGGGGTGGAGCCCCGTTTGTCTCCGCCCTGCTCGGCCCCCACACTGCTGCCTGCACACTGTGCTCTCCATGGCAGGAGGCTGGAGGACCCCTTTTGGGGCACACTGATGAGCCCAGGAAAGGTTGCCCCCCAGTCACAGGGGCCATCCATCAAGAAGCCTGGCACTAGCTGGGCATGGTGGCATATACCTATAATCCCAGCACTCAGGAGGCTGAGGCAGGAGGATTGCCATAAGTTCAAGGCCATCCTGGTCTATGTAGTCAATTCAAGGCCATCCTGGCTCAAAAAGAAGAAGCGTGGCACTGCCCTCCACCCAAAGGCTTTCAGCTGGCTTCTCTCAGGGCCACCATCACCCCTGAATAGAAGGCCAAAGATCACGAGCCGCAATTGGATGTCACACGCAAGATGAAGACGGAAACAAACAACAAAGGGACACATAGGAAACAGGAACTATGCCAGGAGCACAGAACATTTACAGAAAAAGGAACAAGCCTTTGTCATAATTAATAATGAAATAATAGAAACTCTCTATCATAATTATCCTCAGGTAGCTAGTTATAAGAAAATATTTCATCCCTGAAAGAAATGAGTGCTATAAAAGGAGTATCCAGAGATGAGAAGAGTTCTGGAAGACTAAAAATAAGATAGCAGATATTTTAATATTGCAGCAGAAGAACTATAAGTTTAATAAATTTACTATGAAGGAGAAAGAGAGAGGGAGAGAAAGAACTGAACACAGTAGAAAAATATAATAAAATTAGAGACCAGCCCACATGGTCTGATATCCAGTTAACAGGAGTTCTAGACCATGGAACAGAGAAAAATGGCAGTGGGTGAATTTAATGGGAACTAGAATAAAAGAGCACATCCCAGAGTGAAAGGATGGAAAGCCTGGGTTTCCGAACAGAAAGGACACAGAGCATATTCAATTGAAGGAAAAAAAGAAAAAGGAAAGAAGGAAGAGAGAGAGGGATGGGGAGGGAAGGAAGGGGAAAGCAAAGGAGCGAGAGGAAAAGAAAATACAAGGAAAAAGAAGAGACCTATTTGAAAGCATAAGTGGTGGTCAGGGTACTTTCAACTCGGTTATTATAGCACACCTCCAGTTGTGTCTGGGGGCACAGAGGCGGGCCCTGGAGTCTATGTCTGGTCCCTGGCCCCTTCCACCTTGGCTCTCTTCCCTTGCTCTGCTTCCTGACCTCCATGTACTAAGCAGCTTTGCTCCACCACACCCTTCCACCAGGATGTCTGCCCTGGAGCCAGTGCACCATAGAGTGAAACAATGAGCTAGTTAAAGCTCTCCTCCTTTAAGTCGTGGGTGTTGGGTATTATCCCTCAGTGCTGAGAAAGCTAGCTAAAGAAATGATCCTCAACACTTTCAGCAAGAGAAAAATAGAACCCAAAAATCAAGATTCAAAAGTTCTTAGACTCCTTGATGAGAAGTTAGAAGACAATGGTACAATGCCTTAAAAAGCATTTCCAACTTAGAATGAATTCTACACCCAGCTAAACTAACACTCAAGTGGGGGCTCAATCCAGACATTTCCAGATTTGAACCGCCTCAAGAAATTAACCTTCTATGGATATTTCTTAGATAGTGACTGGTGGACTTTTTTCTACCCAAAAGAATTATCCAAGCAAAAAGAAAGCCTGGGTTCCACAGACTAAGGAACCCAACTGAAGACAGAACCTCACAATGACACTGAGAGAAAATTCCAGATGATAACCACACAGCAGACCTGCAAAGCAAAGGGTTCAAATCAGAACAGAAGCATGTAGGCTTCTGAAAGCACTGCCTCAAAGACAAAGCAAAAGCAAAAACTAATTGAGAGATTTCTGATGTGTCAGACCTTACTGAGAAGAATTTTAGACTTCTGTCCAAGAGTTGTAGGAACGAATCAGTCACAGCACACATTTGGGCATATTAACATAAACATTAGAAATGATTCAACCAAAAGTTGAAATGTAGCTCCACTGGGAGGGTGAGGGAAGGATTGCTTGTGTTCATACATGTGTGTACAGAGGAGCTATTTCTTATTCTCTGGCAGGAAGTCGATGGAATCAACAAATGTCTAAAAGGAAAAGGCAGGAAGTGGCAGTAAAGCATGTAATATAGAAAGACGGAGGGGTATCCCAGAAGAACCATCTAAAACATTTCAAAGTGTTTGTCTACAGGGACTCGGGACTGATGCCGAGGACTGTTTTTCCCTTTCCCCTTCCCCTCCAGCATGCGCCTGTTACAACTTGATATAACTTCAAACCTGTATGGATGACCCGTAAGTCCTGCTCTTGCCTCCTACCACCCGTCCAGCCTCTCACAGAGCAGAAAGAATTATTTCTCTTATGGAGATCAAGGACGACCCTCTAATTAATTCATCAATTAGTTCAACACATAATTATTAAGCACCAATAATAGTCAACCCCGACCAAGCGAGTGTAGTCTGGAAAAGCCGGCCAGACCAGAGTCAGCCTCCTAGGTCATCTAATTGAGCTGTGATGAATTAGGCAGATAGATGCCAGACAGCGAGGCTCCGAGAGGGGTGGGATGCAATGGGAGGATGCAGGGCAGAGGCAGCGGCCAGGAGCGGGAGATCGGTGTGTCTGCAGGATCATTTCCCCTGAATCCCACGAGCTCTAGGAGTGCAGAGTGCGTGGCACACAGAATGCTTCCTACCAGTGCCTTTATAGCTCCCTGCGCAGGATTCCTGAACTGCAGATGCCCAAGGCCTCTGAAGCTCTAGACCTCTCCGGCTTGGGCTCCTGGGACCTGAAAGAATCTGATTCCTTACAAGTTTTGCTATCTTGCACAGTGGGAAGAACGCTGAACTCACAGGCAGGACTTGGGCTCAAATCCCAGCTGGCTGAGCTAGCATAATCAGAGATTCAGTTTTCTCATCTATAGAATGGGAGTGATCGTCCCTGGGCTCCCAGATGCTGTCAAGATGAACTGAGATTAGAGATATGAAGGAACCTGCTACAATGCTACTGAGTGGGTACTTCATGAATATGAATGAATACTCATGAATAAATGGGTACTTCATGAATATGAATGAGCCAATACTGACGAAGCAGCATGCTTGGAAACCCAGAATGACCAGGGACTCGGAAGAGTAGGGACAACCACATGACAGCACGTGCAGGAAAGTCAGCTTGAGAGGGGTTCTGTCGCCTGTGGTGAGGCGCTGAATTGCGGCCCCTCAAAATTCCCATGTTGAAGGCCTAACTCCATCAGCATAGAGTTAGAGGAAGCGCCTTTACAGACGTGATGGAGGCAGAAGAGGCTCTTAAGGGTGAGCATGGATCCACTCTCACTCCTGTCCTTATGGGAAGAGGAGACTGAGATGGACACACAGATGAGAGGCTGTGTGAGGACACAGAGAGAAGACATCCACCTCCAAGACAAGGACAGAAGCCTCAGAAGACCTCAGTCCTGCCGACACTCTGGTCTCAGACCTTAGCCTCCAGCACCGCAAGGAAACCATTTTTCTGCTGTCTGCGCCTCCTGGTCTGTGGCACTGAACTCCGTACACAGGACACCTGCCTTTTGCTTGGAGCACGTGTCCAACTGTAGCGCAATCTCAGGCTCCGACTGCAGCAGCATCTGGGAGGCCAGCCACGGGAGGAGGCTGCAGCCCTCCTCCTCCCGGAACCAGTGAGGCCAGATGGTGGGAAATGGTTGCATTTTAAAATGACCACGGCCAAATGGAAGGTACAAAAGGAAGGAGCCAAGATGGCCGAAAGATTTGGGGCCCTGCCAGTTTCCCTGGAGAGAGCGCAGCCTCTCCAAGCATTGGAAGGTATTCCACTGATGGCTGCTGTCCCCGATGCCAGAGGTCCTCAGCGGACAGTGGCTGGCGTAGGGCTGTGGACATGATGATGACAGCAAGTCTGGTGGTGAGTGCCACAGTGATGCTTCCCAAATCTGAGCATCGATGACTAGGATACTCGTGGGGTCTCCATGGCACTATCTGCGTGGACGCGTATATATGCTTGTGCACACACACATGCATGCCACTCAGCCTCCACCACCAGACTGGGAACGCCTGATGAGGGCGACCACATCCCCTTCTACCTTCCCGCCTGCCTCCAGCGCCCACTCTCACCAAACTATGCTCAGCTGGGCTTTCTGCTTTGCAGAAAAACAGAGGGGAAAGAATTCCCAGGCTCTTTGCAAATGACCTCCTAGCAAGGGCTCAGGGGGGCCAGGCAAGTGATGTGGTGATGTGTCCAGTGACATTCTCTGGCTGTGACCTGCAGGGCCAGTGCTCCTGGCAGCTGCTGTCCAGCTCTGCAGCAACCCAGGCCTTGGGGAGTTGCAAGGTGTGAATGGGCAATCTTATTTCCTAGGCCTCCGAGTGGGACGACGTGGGGAACCAACAGAAAAGTTAGATGCTGCAGATGATTGTGATGGAAGACAGTATCGAGAACCTCTCTCCCCAGGTCCTCGCCTTGGCCCCGGCTCTTCCTGGCTGGAGCCTCAGACCCATGCAGCAGTTTCATTACCCTGCGGCTCTGCATGCACGAGGGGTATTAATAATTCATGCAAATCTGCAAGTTAAATGCTAGGTCAAAAATAGAAATGCAATTGTCTGCAATAAAATTAAAAACATAAAGTCCTCAAATCCAAAGGTTTCTATTGACAGAGTTTCCTGTCATCTGGGAGAACAAACCTCTTACTGTGCTAGGGAGGAAAAAAAAGTGCTTCCATGTGCTGGCTGCTTCCCCGCCCCTCCTCCATGGAGACGGGCTGCAGCGTTGCTGCTGGGGGCCTGGGAAGTCCAGGCTTCTGCAGCTGCCCTCCCCCACCTCCATCCCGCTCACTGCCCTGCAGGGCTCTCTGGAGCCTGGCTGAAGAGCAAGGGCCTCAGAGAGTGCACAAGCAGGGCTGCGAGAGGAGACATCAGCCCCTTTAGGCTCCTCCAAGCAGACAGACAGACACCAAGGGCTGGGGTTCAAGGTTCTGGAGACCCAGCTTACAGCACCACCTCAGGCGGCTCACTAGCCCTCCCTGACTTCAACTTCCTCTTCTGAGAAAGGAAGATACGGACAGAACGGTGGTGTTCAACCTTCTTCAAGCTGGGAGAGGCTTGTTTTGTTTGTTGGTTGGTTTGCTTTTGGCAACTCACTACATAGCCTGGGCCAGCCTGGAACTCACAGGGATCTTCCTGCCTCGGCCTCCCAAGTGCTGGGATCATAGGTCCTCTGTTTTCTGTAAACTCTTTAAGATAGAGCATGGGGGTGGCATGGGAGCCAGAGTCCTAATTACTAGGGTCCCTGCCCCATCCTCACCCCTGAGAACCCAGAGTATTGGTAGAAGATAGACGGAGACCTTTGAGTCTTGAGGGATTATTTGAGAACACAGAGCTTAACCTCCTGGCCCCCTCCTGTGCAGCCGTGTCTGGTCCTGCTTGGCCAGCTCTCCACCAGCTCCTTTCCTGCTGTGAGACGTCCTCCAAGCCTGCAGCTGTGCCTGCTCTCCTATTGCTCTGGTGATCCCCACGCCTCCTGAAATATCCTGCTTCTGCCCAGCAGCCCTTGTTCTGCTGAGTTTCCCTGAAATGGGCCATGTGGCTGGGGACACACAGGCAGGGCGCAGCCCAGGAGAGCCAGCACATTGGCCTGGAGGCTCTGGGGCTGGGGCAGAGAGGGCTGGAAGGAGGCTTTCGGGGACCCTGTGCATCCAGGGCATAAAACAATCGATTATAAGTCCAGTGTGGTGGGGGCTGCCTGCAATCCCAGCACTCTGGGAGGCTAACGCAGGAGGAGTGTTAAGTTCCAGCCCAGCCTGGATGACTTAGTAAGACCCTTCTCAAAGTCAAAGATAAAAATGGCTGGGATGTAGCTCAGAACAAAGGCCCTGGGTTCAATCCCTAGTACCGAGAACAAACCAGAACAACCCAAGCAGTTGCAGCCTGCATCGGTATGCGCAAGGCACTTGAGACACGGGTGTTCTCAGTTGAGGCTCCCTCGGCGGCAGCCAGCTTACTGAGTTACACCAGCTTTGTTAAGTAATTTGCCTCAGGTCACACAGCACTTAGACTCAAGATCTAGGATTCAAAGCTGTGTCCACAGCACCAAGGAAGGCTTGGAACCATAAGTCAGGGTGGGTACTCAAGGTGGGAGAGGAACTTAGCCTTTCACAGACGTGTGTGAGGGATGCTCAGATCTCTTGCAAAGCCCCACCCAGATCCGAGGGAGTCACTTACCGTCCATCCTGGGGGGCAGGCACACTCGCCAGTGATGTGGTGGCAGGTGCCCCCATTCTGGCAGGGGCAGCGCAGCTCACAGTGAGCTCCATGGCTCCCGGGGGGGCACAGCTCCTCGCAGCTGCAGGGAGAAGCAGGAGTGTTAAGCACAGTAGCATTTGCGTGGGTGCCCCTACCCGCCAGGGCTCCCTAGCAATGAATGTGAGATGCAGTCCCAGCCCCTGCCAGGAGGGGGCGGCACGTGTCATACACTAGCATGAAGTGTGCTTGGGCCAGTATTATCGGAGGATTTAAATGTTCCAGGGTGAAGACAGGCTGCGCTAGGGCTTGTCCCTTCCAGGCTCCGGCAGGCCCGCCGCTACTATGTGTGCAGACTAGCCATGCTGAGGCCTGGGCGTGCTACCGTTGGGTGGGCCAAAAATAGCCCAGGTTCTTGGGTAGGACAAGGGAAGAACTGCCAAGCCTGCAGCCCGTAGTATGTCCTAAATAGCTACATTTCTAGATCGCAGAACTGCAGCAGGAACAGGGAGAAGGGCAAAGAGGAAAAGAGGGTAAAAGGTAAAAGGGACAAAGGGCTGAGTAACTCAGGCTTCCGGGATGTATACGGTCAGACACCACGGCCTCAAGGCCCCTCCCAGGGTCGCGCTCCGATGTCAGCAATCTGCGCGACCTCCTAGTTTAAGCCTGGAAATCACTAGGGTGGTGTGGCGACTGCAGGCGAACGAAGGGGAGGTCGAGGCTCGGCTCCTTCGTCTCTCACTGCGCCGGGAGGGCGTGCGTGGGACCTTAGCCTGGGTCGTCTTCAGTGGCCTGGCCTCCAGCTCAAAGGGTCCTGGAGCGGGCACTGGAGAAAGGGTGCCCTCGGTGCAGGAGATCCCTGCGGTCGGAGCCCTTGACTGCTTCCTTGCGATCTGGGGCTGTCGGACAGCCTGCAGGCCCTTTCAGCCTCGCTCGGGGCAGGGTCTCAAGGGAGCAGCCTTGGAGGACCCTGGTCGGCCTTTCACAGGGAGCGAGGGTGAGGCGCGGGTGGGGTCCGAGGGCAGAGCAAGGAAAGAACAGGCACAGCGAGCGTGCTACTCTGTGCATGATGTCCGTTCCAGGCTCTCACCACTTCTTGAGCCCACACGCAGGGAAGTGTTGGCCCGGTCCCAGGTGCGCGGACGCATGAGTTAAGAGAAATCCAGGCTACCTTGGGGTGGGGGCAGGGCTGTCGCCAGGAAGGCCCCCTGGGACGTGTCTGATGAGCTCCTCTGCTGGGGGGCACTCATACAGTCTCTGTGGGACCAGTCACTGCAGGGCCTGAGACCCCACATGGGCGAGGTGTGGGCATTTAGACCCTGCTGGACTTGGGACCAGATACTTGTGTACAGCCAGGACCACCAAGACCTTCTTTCTGCTCCCACCACCCTGCCCTGCTCTAGAACACAGGACCACAGCTAGATAGGCCCCGCCTCTGCCCACTGTCGCCCCGCCCATCGTCGCTCCACCCACTCGCCCAGCCCCGCCCCTCTACCGGCCCGCTCCCACCCTCAGCCCCACCCCCTCAACTACACCTATTCCTTTCTAGCCCCGCCCCCAGCCCCGCCCCAGCCCCGCCCCCGTGGAACTCACTAGACGCCGGTGTAGCCTGGCGCGCAGAGGCACTCTCCCGTGCGGGGGTCGCAGCTGGCGCCGTGGTGACACTGGCACGGCAGCTGGCAGCCCTTGCCGTGGGTGCCAGGCGCGCAGAGCTCCTCGCAGCGCCACCCGCGGAAGCCGGCGGCGCACACGCAGGCGCCGGTGATGGGGTTGCACAGGGCGCCGTTCTGGCACTGGCAGCGGTTGCTGCAGTGGGGGCCCCAGTGGTCGCTGTCGCAGCCTGCAAGAGAGAGGACCCGCAGGGCTGAAGCGTCTCCAGGGCTTGCCTGGGGACGGGGTCGGACCGATGCCCTAGCGGCCTCCCCGCGGGTGCAGCCCTCCTCCCTTGGTGAGGCGGCGGGGGTGTCCAGAGGGACGCTTTGGCCGGGGCAGCTCTTCCATCGGGCACCCAGAGTCCCAGGGGCTGACGCTGGCAGAGGACTCGCTTCCGGTGCAGGTTCAGACACCTTCAAGTCCCTCCGCTCCCCTAGGCCCCTCTCCGGCCGCAGGGACACGCGGGGGTCACAGCTGCTGGTCTCTACTCTTTCTGGGCGGTTGTCCTTCTGTCCTCTCAGCCAGGCCTGTCGCCCCAACCTGCCAGCTCTCTTCTCCGAGACCCCTGACCTCTTCTGAGTCCCTCATAGCCCAGCCCAGCTCCCGTTCCTCTCTCCCTCCGGCCTCCTCTCGCCTGCCTGCACGTCTTAGCTTTCTTCATTCCTTGCCTCTTGCTTTGGGAAAAATTCTTCTACCTCTCTGCCCCTTCCCTGGTTCCATCTTCCTTTGTCCCTTTTAGTAATATGTATGGTCCCTGGTCGCCTCGTCTTCTGTTCAATTTCATTACTTTCCAAGCTACTAGCTTCAGAAGGAGCCGGAGAAAGAAATGTTTCCCCAGGAGGCGACAGACAGCCTGCAAGATCTTTACATGTAATTAAATGTTTCAAAGAGTGATAGCTGCACCAACTTGCAGAAATTCACACTGCAGCTGAAGACAGGGGCGGCATGGTAGGGCCCACGAGGGTCACCCACCCTGCTGCCACCTCGCCTGGTGCCACAGGACACACAAGATGCCAGCCTCACTGATGTGAATTCTGGTGTAGGGGTGGCAGGTGGTGGTCAGGCACGGAGAGGCAGAAGTAATGTTCTAGAAGCTCAATGGAGAGAAAGATTGCTCCCAGCTAAGGAGATCAGGCACGGCTTCCTCGGAGAGGAGGCATCTCCAGTGGGCTGTGAAAGATGGCTCACTTGTCTGCCTGCTAGGGTGACCATCTGTCTTGCTTGCAGCACTCGACGCCCCCCGTTCTGGGAAGTCTCTCAGTCCTGGATGAGTTGGAAAGTTTCTTTACCCTGCTTACTGCCTGAAGGCACAGGGATGATCGGCAGATGATCCCTTGATCTTTGCTGTCCAGGTTTCTAGGGTTTAGGTCCTCAGAGGATTATGGTTTAGATTGAAAATGTCCCCCCGACAGGTCCCATGTGTTTGGAAGGTGACTGGATCCGTGGGGTGCTCTACTCATCAGTGGGTTTATCCCTGGAAAAGTATATTCTTGCCCCAAGCTCCTCCCTTTTCTCTCTCTGCTTCCTGGTGCATGGGATGAGCAGCTGCCCTTCTCCTGGCGCTCCCACCATACCATTCCTACCTTGGAGCCAGCTGACCATGGACTGACTCCTCTAAATACGGTGAACAAAAAAAAATATAGTGAACCAAAACAAACCTCTCCTCCTTTAAGTTGTGGGTGTTGGGTATTTTGCCCCAGTGATGGGAAAGTGACTCAAATACAGGGAGTGGGACTGGGCAGGTGCCACCAGGGTAGGCTCAGTATGACCAAAGGCACGGCGGCACTCCAGTGCTGTGCATGTGGGAGAGTGTAAGGTTCAATGGCTAATGAGGCCGTGGGATATCCGGGGACTAAAGAGTTGGTGGAAGGATTGCTCCATCCTGGCATCCCCCATCAGTCTATCTTGGTCCCATTCCTTTATCTGTGCCCCAAATATTCACACAACAAACTAAGCTGCCAAGTGATGAGTGATCCGCACCCCGCATTTGCCACCCGGTATCACAGGCAGAAGCCAAGTCCCTTCCTAGTGACAATCCCCACTCACACTGACAGGGTACAGGACAGAGCAAATGAGCAGCAGCCCAGATCTCCTATCACACCCTGTCTCTGGGACACAGACCTAGGAAGTGGAAAGACTGGAAGAATTGCCTACCGTAGCATTTTTGTTTGTTTGGGACAGGCATTGAACAGGCATTTGTTCAGGCTGGCATTGAACTCACTATATAGCCCAGGATGGCCTCAAACACAAAGGGAATCCTCCTGTCTCAGCCTCCTGAGTGCTGGGATTATAGGTGTGTGCCACTACACCTGGCTGTAGCATCTCTATCTTTTCATATGGTTGATGGACATACATTTACTGTACATATGAGATGACTCCGTTGTAATGACGACCACATTGTGGATGCCACGCACTACCTTGGAAGTTTTATCTACATTAACAAAACCGAATCTGTACAGCCTTGTGATTTTGGTTTTATTATTTTCCCATGTTCCAGATGGGAAGATAAAGAGCCAGAGAGGTGAGTTCAAGGTCATAGCAAGGACAGGCCCAGATCTTCTGTTTCTGGTTTCCCGCTGCAGGTAAATGGGGCAGCGCGGGAGGATAAGCCAGGGAGGAAAACTTGGAGGCGGCACTAGAGACAGGACGGCTGCTGGCAACGCACCAGGCAGGGGACACCAAAGAAACTGCCTCCGGCGAGAAACTGGGCCTAGGACCAGGGGAGCCCCACTCTCTCTGGCACAGCCAAAACCCGGAAGGAGGCAACACCGGGCGTCTGCTTAGGAAGGCAGAATACTGTCGCGAAGTCCCGCACTGATACATCGATACATATATCGGAGCACCCGGCACCTCCTCCTGCCGGAAGTCCTGCCCCCCATCCACGTCCGTCCGGTGCTGTCAGGCGGGGTTCACAGGCAGCGCACCAACCGGCAAGCACCGCTCTCAACCGGACACTCTGGTTTTTCACCGCAGACGGGTGTGTGGGGGTGTGTGTACACACGAGTGTCTCTGTCTGTGTCTGCATATTTGACGAGGCTCCTAAAAATAGGTGACACGGGCTGTTCTGGGGTAGTGAGAAGCCACAGCAGTGAACGAAAAACGTTCGTCGACTGACAAAAAGTAAAGCTCCGTAGAGCCATTAAGATGGGGGCAAACAGCCCCTCTCGTGGAAAGCGACAGGAAAAGGCTATTCAATTTAGAATATTCTGATTAGGGAAGCAGGGAAGTGTGTGTGATCCAGTCCCAAGAAATCTCTCCCCAGGGTGATTTAACGGGGAGAAAATGTTAGGGATCACAGGGATGAACCAGTTATTTAAAGTATTCACTTAACAACGCCTCATTCCCTGGCAATGACAGAGAAATGAGGCAGAAGGCAAGTGAACACCATCATCATTAGAGTTACGAGGGGGCCTTGCAGTCTTCCACAGGTGGATCTATTTCCCTGGGAAGCTACCGAGGGTTCAAAGGGCACCCGGAAGTGTGCATCTTGACAGATCTGCGCTTTCTCTGCCGACCCTGGGGGCTCTGGGACCCAGGCCTGTGTGTTCCTGGGTCCCCAGGGTGTGTGACTCTTCAGCGCCAACTTCGGCAGGGACACGCTTTCTGACGTGTGACTACCACTGATGTGCAGTTACTGCACACCAGGCCGCGGCGAAAGGCAGGAAGTAGGTGTCCTCGGCGATTTTGGCTGATGCTATTTATCGTTACTCCTGTCTTGCACATAAGGAAGAGAGGCTCAGAGAGGGTAAATACCTTGTCCCAGGCCACACAGCTGGGAAGCAAGTGGGAGTCTGCTAACACCTGCTGTTCTGCTGGGTGCACCTGGCGTGGATGGAGGGGAGCGGGGGCTGTGACAGGAGCCACCCCAGACCACCCAGAGGGGCGGAGCAGAGGGCCACTTTCCAAAGCACCTTATGCAGGCCCGGGTTCACGGGTTCCCTGACGGATGCTATTTCCTGTGGTCTTAGTTACTTTTTCTTGGTACTCAGACAAAATACCTGACACCCAAAGTTAAAGGGGGAAAGGTTTATTTAGCTCACAGTCTGTAGAGGTTTCAGCCCATAATCAGCTGGCTCCAAGGCAGAGCAAATGACAAGACAAGCCTCGGCCCCCTGCTCAGTCTGTCCTTTACATCCTACCCAGGCTACCTGTCCTTATCCCTTAATCCTAGCATCGCACCACGAATCAATCCAGCGTCACACCCTTGATCCCGGCGTCACACACTCTAGATCACCACCTCCAAAAAGCCCCACCTATGACCACACGAGGCTTGGGGGACATCTAGACACAAGCCGTAACACGCATCATTTTATTCTCGTCAGTTAATATAACTTCTTTACTGCTCTATTAGAATTTTTCAGGGGAGGAGGGGTTGAACGGAGGGTAGGGGAATAGGGGAAAAAACAAATGATGTCATGTATAGGTACAAATTCTCTGATGAATGTGATTGTTATGTATATCTAAAATGTACCAATAAAATCTAACTTAAAAAAATTTCTATCATGTTAAAATATATATAATACAGATTTTTCATGTTAATCATTTTAAGTGTACAACCCAGTGGCATTAATTACATTCACAGTATGAATACATTAATACCATTATTTTCAAACTTTTCTGTCACCCCAAAAAGAAACTGTACCCAGTTAATCAGTAACTCTCCACTTCTACCCCTTAGTTACTAGTAAACTTTAATTTTCTTTCTTTTTGAATTTTAGGTACTTCATACAAGTGGAGACGTACCCTAGCAGTCTTTTGCATTTGGCATAATTTCATTTAGCATAATGTTTCCAAGGTTTATTCATGTTGTAGCAATTTTTTTGGTCAGTAGTTCTCTCTTTTTCACAACAGAATAATATTCCATCATATGACTACATTTGGATATTTTGCCTGTCCATTCCTCTGTTGATGAATACACAGGTTGTTTTCATCTCTGGATATTGTGATTTATGTTGCCATGAATACTAGCATAGAAGTGTATTTTTTTTCAGTACTGGAGATCAAAACCACACCTCATACTTTATAGACAAGTGATCTATCACTGAGCTATACTGCCAGCCCACATGTATCTTTTTGAGCTCCTAAGGATTATTTTTATTTTACTACTAGGGATTGAACCCAAGACCTTGCACATGCTAGGCAAGTGCTCTACCACCAAGCTACACCACCAGCCTCTTTAAAATTTGA